GTTTTTTGTTTTTTTTTTGCTATTAATATTCCTTTAGAAGATCTTGTTTTATGCCATCATGCTGCAAAATTGCATAAAATAACGAACTGCACTATTTCCTTCATTCACAGTGCCATTATTCTGTGACTAAAGGAGCTGCATTCCAGGGTCTGGGCACAGACAATGTCTATTTGGTAAAAGCTGATGAACGGTGAGTCACTGGGTGTGGTGTTAGCTTCTAAGTAACTGTGTCCCTCAAGGAGGAATGTAAGTATTCTGATGTTTCAAACCTCCCACTTTACAAGCTTTCCCTTCACCACAGAATTGAAACAAGAACTTGTACTTTTTACACAGAGAAATGTCCCAAAGCATTTCACAGAAGTGCTATCACTATGAGAAAGGAGATATTGGGACAAGTGACTTGCAGCTTGGTCAAAGAGAAGCCATCTCTTTTTAGAATTCATTTCCCTAAGGATCTCAAATTGTGGAGCTCCCTCTGTATGTTTTACAGATGCTTTAAAACCAAAAGTTGGTTGCACTTGCTTTTGTTTCTTCCATCCCACCCTTTCCAACCTTCGTGTTCTCCTGCACCGCTGTGCTATCCCAACCTCAGCGTTTTGATTTTGTGGAGTTGTGCCCCAAGCTCCAAGCTTCACGGTGTGTCTTTCATAACCTGCTGAAGTGTGAGAGTCTGACTGACTGTAACAGAACATTTGAAACCACCATGTTCATTACAAATTTAAGTTTGTTCTGAAGTCTCCTATGCTGTACTCTGGGGAGATTACATATCCCTTTTCCAAGTGATCTCATGAACAGAAGTTCATGCCCGAACATTGAGGAAACATCAATTGGAAGGTGGGAGACAGTGGAGTAATGATGATTTTGCTGGACTAGTAATCCAGAGGGAACAAAAACAGAAGTTGCTGGAAAAGCTCAGCAGGTCTGGCAACATCTGTGAAGAAAAATATCAGAGTTAACGTTTCGGGTCCAGTGACCCTTCCTCAGAACGGGACCTGAAACATTTAACTCTGATTTTTTTTTCTTCACAGATGCTGTCAGATCTGCTGAGCTTTTCCAGCAACTTCTGTTTTTGCTCCTGACTTACAGCATCCGCAGTTCTTTTTGGTTTTTATTTCGTAATCCAGAGGCCCAGACTAATGCTCTGGGTACATGACTTCAAATCTCACCATGACTACTGATGGATTTTAAATTAATAAAGTTCTACAATTAAAAGTTACTCTGATAGTTGTCACCAGCTATCACTGATTATTGTAAAAACCCAGCTTAGTCACTCTTGTGTCCTTTTGGGAAGGAAATTTTCCATCCTTGCCTGGTCTGGCCTACATGTGATTCCAGTCCCACAGCAATGTTAACTGCCCTCTGAAATGCTCTACCAAGCCATTCTGTTTGAAGGCTTTTGGGGGCAGGCACTAAATGCTGTGTGTGAGGGGAAGCATGTTCACCTGCAACAGCTCGAGCATCAAAACCTGCAACTTGGCGAGGGAGTGTCTTATTTCCAGAGGTGCCATCTTTTGGATCGGAAGTTAAGTTGCAGCCTCCAGTTCTTTCTGGTTTATGTAGAAGATTACTGTTTTGAGCGAGGGAGGTCTCCATGATATTCTGGGCGGTGTTTATCCCTCAATCAACAGCATCCATACATTATCTGGTCCCTGTCTAAATGCACTTATTTGTAGTACCATTTGTTCTTCCCCTTTTTGAGGGCAGAATGGGACCTTGGTTTGATGTCCCATGTGAACAACAGAATCTGACAGTGCTGCACTAGAATAACAGCATAGATTGTGTGCTCCAGACTCCGAAATGGTTCTTAAACCCAATGACTTTTGCAGGCATGTGTGCTATCCACTGAGTCTTGTCTTTCATGTCCACCAACCCTTTCATTTAAGGAAATGGTGTATTATGCAATGTTTACACCAGTACTTTTTAAAGTGTAGTTGTTTGGTAGTACAAAACTTGAGTATCGATTTTGGGGGGAGTGGGGGGCAAGGCCACATTTTTGTCTTGCATGTGTCAAGATATTTGCGACAATGCCAATGTGAATGGGAAGAATGTTTTATACTGTTTGAGAGGAGAGTCTTGTTGGTTGGAAATTGGACTCTGGTAGAGGTGATTTGGAGACTGTGTGTGTGTGTACCAGTTAGCTTCTGCCTCACTGTCAACTGCTAAGCTTGTTGATGTGGGAGATCTGAACAATTCTTAAAATAACCAGAGATAACAAGGTGTAGAGCTGGATGAACACAGCAGGCCAAGCAGCATCATAGGAGCAGGAAGGCTGACGTTTCGGGCCTAGACCCTTCAT